GCAGCCACTTGGGAAGCGGCTGCCACCGAGAACGGAGGCCGAGGGCAGCTCCTCTGGGCCTCGCGGAGGAGAGGTTGGCTGTAAACTTCTCTTTTTTCCATTTTCTTAAACATCTGTCGAACCTGGGACCTGGTCTAAAGGGGCGTCTCTGGGCTGCGTGGCACGCGGTGGCCTCTGCCAAGCTGAGTGGCCCTCGCTCACGTGTGCTGGTGACCTGAGACCGACGGGGGTGCTTCAAAGAGTCTGTGAAGGAGAGAATTAAAATCTGAATTCATTTTGGTGCAAAAAAGATGAACTCTAAAATTTTCTCCCCGTAGTCACGTGCTGTGAACTTTCTGAGGACGCGCGTCCTGCCTGACGGCACCTCGGCGCTGCAGGGGTTTGCGATGGAGAAAACCAAGGTTTGGGAGCAGAAAGGACAGCTTTCAGACCTCCTGTGAGAGCCTTGTGAAGCTCGCCCTGGCTGCCCCGGGCACCCCCGGGAGCTAGACCCCCGCAGCCACCGTGCACTCCGCCAGTCCCGAGTCAGGGCGGTTAGAGCTGGTGACGAGAACTGCCATCGAGGACAGATCTGCCTTCGTGTTCTCAGGACTGGAAGGCGGCGCTCTGGTCTGGAGGGGCTCAGCACCTGCCGGGCTCCAGACCCCGAGCCGTGAGAGCCGCTGCCGCTGCAGGGGCCACAGCCGGGAGGATGCCCGCACGCCCCGTTCTGCCCGTCGCGGGGCTGGGGGCCTGCGCCCTTGTCCTCCTGGTCCTGAGAGGCGGAGCCCCCGGGGGTGAGTACTGCGCACGGCGGGTCACTGGGCCTCACGGAGCTGCTCTGCACGGGCCCCACAGCAGGAAGGAACGCACACTCCTGAGGGCAGTAGGGCTAGTTGGCACGGGCGTGTCACGCTTCCCCAGGAAAAAAGTCACTCTTGAGTTTCAAAGGACCAAAACCGGATTGTTTCTGAGAAAGAACTGATTGAACTCTAATTACACGTTGGAAAATGTCCATTTCACTTGTTCGTGTATTTTCCTGTGAGAGCATTTTCATTCCTGTGTTAGCGAAGCCCTTTACAGTGACTGACAGACTCAGGTTCCAGAGCTGCAGAGACGTGGGGCTCTGCACAGCGCCAGCTCTGCGTTTGCTCGGGGAAGAAAAAATCCCAAACCCCGACAGCAAGTTAGACTGATGCGCGCGCCGGCCATGTGCGGGGGTTGGGGGGTGGCCATGTCTGGGGTCTGGCCGTGTCTGCCGGGGGGGAGAGGGGAACTGGCCACGTCTGCGGGGGAAGGGGTTGGCCATGGCTGCTTTGGGGGGG